TGATGGCCCACATGGCTTGTGTTGACCTTGGGGTGGGTTTGGCAGCAAATGCTGTGGAGAGCTCTGGAAAAAATACCCTCAGCCTGGGACTGGCTCCAAGCCCAGACTCGGCCACGGAGCTGGATGACACAGCCCTGCCAGGTCCCCGACTCCCTGCAGCCATGGGATGGAGCCAGGACTGGTCCAGCTCCCAGCTAAGCACCGCTGCTGCTGCACACGGATGCTGGGAGAGGTCTCTAAGCCAGAGGCCTGGACCCAGGGGGGACCCTACACCTCCCTGCCATCGCTCAGAGGTTGATGGTGGGTCAGGCTGCAGAGAGCGAGGGGCTGGGGGCCCACGGCTGCTCCAAGACCCTGACCCATGAACTGTTCCTGGAGCAGAGATGGCAACTCCAGCAGCTGCTTTCTCTTGCCAGGAAGCTAAGTGCTGAATTCAGACCGTGCCAGGGATGTTTCCTGGGATTAATTCCACTCTAATGGACTTTCCTGATTTAGCTGTTGCTTCTTTTTACCTGCCAGTGCATGCAGTGAGGTCCAGGCTTCAAGTCCACAACCTCACAGCAAAACACATCGCCCATGAAGCTGGAGCAAGACGGTAAACTTACTCCACAAGCACCCCAAGCCCTGGCTGGGGCCGGCTGGGCTTGGGCGAACCAAGGGAGAGCGGAGCTGGCAGAGCCTTGTGTTTGCCTGTGGGGTCTCAGGAGAGAAAGGCCTGATCCTGACCCAGCTTGTGGCAGGTATATGGCTCCTCTCTGGGACCAGCACACCGCAGGTGGTGCCATTGGCACATGCCAAACCAGACACGGGGCAGAGCGGAGAGTTTGACTGTCAGGGGACCTTGCGGGAGTGCGTTCCTGGTGTTTGAAGGGCGAGCTGCGTGCGGGTGCTGCATCAGCACTGCTGTGCGTTTAGATGTGTTGGGTGCCACGTGCGCACATGCACCCTCGTACACGCGCTGGTATATACCCACACATGCACACCCACGCTCCCACCCTGCCTGTGCCGATGCTTTGGCAGAGCCAGCCCAACGCCTTTCACCTGTCCTGGGGAGCAGCACACGCATCTCCAGCCCCTGAGCTAGGGGCCATGGGCTGGGGGGGGCTCTGAGGGCCGCTGACCAGCTGGCCCCCTCCTTATGGCCTCAATCCTGCCCTGGTCAGCAGCAGAAAGTCTCTGGGAACCGGCTTTGTCCTCCTCCTTCTGCGGTTATGTCTAAGGGGGAGCTGTGTCTCATCCTTGGGGTCTGATGCTCTGGGCCAGCCAAACCGACCCAGCTCAGCCACGAAAGGAGTCTTATCTGGGTGGCCCCAGGCTGCTGGTGGCTGATGAGGACACCCCGATCCTCACCAGCATCCCTGAGCTGGGGCTGGTCCTTCTCCTTCCAGCCGTGGAGGCTGATGCCATTGCCTGGGCGTGACCAGCAAGTCAGGGACCCCGCAGTGCAAGTGCTGGGTGTGGGGGGGACATGGCGTGGAGCTGAGGGGGTTCGGTGCACCGGGAGCACCCGGAGCATGGAAATTTGGGGGGTGTGGGTGGGATGGGTGGAGGAAATCCTTGCTGTGTTCGGGGAGGCAGGCGAGCCTGCGGAGGGGAGGGCTGTGCCTGGCTGGGGGGGGCTCTTTGCAGACTCACCTGTTTTCTGCCACCAGGATCTGCTCCAGGAGTTTTCCTGCCTGGCACTTGGTCTCCAGCTCCGCCGTGTACAGCAGGTTCAGCAGCAGGTCTAGGCCCCCCTCCAGGCGGATCACGTCGCACAGCACTTTGGCCACGTCCCTCCCCAGCGTGGGCATCCCCCAGGCTTCCTCCACCAGCTGGAAGACCTCGCCAATGGCCCTCCTCAGCTCCGCAGGGCTGGCTGCCTGCTTGGCGCAGGCGATGGCCCGGTGCAGGGCAGGCAGAATGCGGTCCAGGGCTGCCCGCACATCCGTATTCACCCCGGGGGAAACCTCCCGGTGCTCCCTGGAGCTGCCCCCGCCTGCCCAGCTGCCCGCCTGGCTCACGCACTCGGGCACCGCCAGCCTCTCCGCAGTCGACATGGCAAAGAACCGACACAGTTTATAGAGGGAGACGAGCAGGGTGAGCACCATCGGCATCTCCTAGCGCAGCATCCTCGGTCACCCGCTCGCTGGGAGCACCCAGCCAAGGCCACCACGCTCCTTGGCGAGACCCGAGGTGGCCAGAGGGGAGGTGCAGGAGAGGGGACGGAGCTGGCCCAGGGTCCAGCCGCAGGGCTGGGCTGCTGGCTCCCTCTCCCCTCCTTACCCTGCTGGGATGCAAAGCTGGAAGCTGTGGCAAAAGCCGCCTTCTCAGAGCCAGGCTCAGCATCTCAGGTCCTCAGGGGCTGATGTCACCCTGCGCAGGCGCCGCCTCTCCAAGGAGGGGCTCATGTCTGGGCAGCAGCATCCCCCTCCTCGCTGCAGATGCTCTGGCATCCCCCTGGACCCCTCCTGCCACAGCCCTCTGCCTGCCCAGCCTGAGCTGGGGCTCGTCCTGCTGTCCCCATGGCCCGTGTCCCCTCCCTGCCCGAGCTGCTGTGGAGTCTGTGGTCACCTCCACAGCAGGCAGGGACCCCCATGCTGCTTTTGCAGCAGGTCTCCCCAGGACCCTCTGTGATGGGTGGTGGCCATGGCCGTGGTCACGGGGAGGTTGTGGCCATCCTGGCACTGCATTTTGAACCCGTTTGGTATCAGTGCAGAGGGGTAAAGGGCTCCCTTTGTGTGAGAGAAATTCAGAGCAGCTCTTCTGGGTGGGCTCAGGATTTGCATGATAAAAGAAAGAGCAGAGGCAGCCTGGGCCCCTTTTATTTTCTTCTTTTCCAGGCCAGACGTGCTCAGGGCAGAAATGCTTTGGACGCTTCTTGTCTGTGTTGGGAGGAGCAGCTTAAATCCTTGGCTCCAAAACCAGGTTGTTGCCAGCTCAGACTGAGACTTAAATTCAAGTTGATGTTTTGATGCGACAGAGTCGCTTTTAATCCTCTCTGAATCCACTACGCAGGGACAGACAGAGGAAAGGGACATTAGCTCATAGCAAAGGACAGTAAACAAGGCATCCTGAGCAGCACAGGACGGCAGGAGAGGCTCAGCACAGAACCGGTAAGGATTTTCCTGATAAATTATTATTAAGCAGGGGTAATGATATGGGCTATAGCAGTGCAGCACAGCAGAGGGGTTTGCTACCTTGGAGGAGGCTGCTGCCTGGGGAGAGCAGGATTCAAACCATTCCCTTAGGCTTGTCCTGACAAGCCCAGAGAGCTGCGCTTTGCTTAGTTTTGCTTTGCTTTGTTTTTTGAGAGGGGTTTCCAGCACCAGCAGCCTGACCTCTGGGAATGGCAGAGATTCCCAGCCTTGCCCCGGAGGATCAGCCCCATCGCCTGAGCTCTCCTCCTCCTCGCTGGCTCTGCTCAGCCCTTGGCTGCAAGGTCTCCCCAGGGCCCTGTTACCCCAACCAGCCCCTCTCCTGGCATCTCCTCCTGCCATGCTTTGAGCACAGCAGCCAGGGAAGGGCTCACCGAGGCTTCGTGGGTCTGCGGTTGCTGGTGGTCAGGACCCTGGAGCAGCAGGAGGGAGCTTTGTCTCAGCAGATCAGCAAAGGCAGCTCAGACATTGCCCAGCCCTTCTTCCCCCAGCCTTCCCACAAGCCTGCACCCTCTCAGGGCACTTGTCCCCCGTGTTTGATTCAACAGGGATGGGATGAAGCTTTAGTGCAACGCTGGGCTGGTGCTTGCACCCGGGGATGCTGCCAGCCCCACTATAGCTGAGGCCAGGGGGCAAGGAGGGGGGTGACAGGGCTGCAGGAGAAGTCCTGCCCCAACAGTCCATGTCTGGTGGCTGCCCTCGGCTCACCAGGGCTTTCCAAGTGGAAATGCCTTTCTCACCACCAAATCAAAGCTCTTTCCAGCAAGGGTGGGAGCGGCCAATGCCGGGAACTGCCTGTGTCCGAGCCGGCAGAGGCGAGGCCTCTGGAGAAGCGGGCACCCTGCTCCTGTTCTCTCCCTGACTATTCCATCACTTATTAAAGCCCAGAGCTTCGCTGCTCCTGCCCCGGGGCTGGGACAGACCTCATGGATTTCCTGCCCCAGCAGTGCCACGGCAGTGGAGGCAGTCAGAGGCAGTAGCTCTGTAGCCTCGTGTGTGTTTGCTCCTTGCCCCTCATTAAATAAACATCCCAGAGTTATCAAGAGCTGCCAAAAGAGCTGAATCAACATTAATTAGTAACCAAAAAGATTGGTCAGAAAGGGAATGATGGGAGCAAAATACACAGGCTGTTGTTTGTCTACAGTAGTGAAAGTGCAGAGGGCTCCTGCTCTCCTTCCCTCCAGGCTTCTCACCTCTGGCCCCTGGTCCCCCATGCACGGAGGTGGCATCTGCCCCATCCACAGCCACCCTGCCTTCAGGCTCCCCAGGTCTGCTCCCAGCCTTGCTGACACTGAGAAAGCCGAAATCCCAAGAACAAGTCCTCCAAAACGGTGACATTTTGGGCAAGCAGAAGCCCGGGACTTTTCCTTTTGCCCTCTGAGCATCGCTCCCCCATCCCCTCTCGTTAGGGTTTTTGTCTTGCCAAGACCAGGCTGGGAAAGGGCCTGCCCTTGAGACAGAGGCTGGGAGCTTTAATACCATGAGGTTTGCTATGAAATAAGAGTGGCAGGACCTCAAAACTGGTTCCTGGCTCTGGCCTGCTGTGCCCTCCAGCTCTCTGAACCAGTGCCCAACCTGCACCCGGACTGGGAAGGCTCTGGCAGCAAAGGCACAGCTGGTGGCTCTCGGAGCTGCCTGCACGCGTGGGGAGCCCTGTCCCCCCCCAAACGCACCCGGCTTGATACGGACTGCAGGGTATGCTGGGTGGGAGAACGTCTCTGCCCCTTTTCCCCTGCTCTGACCTTGGCCTGTTTGTTTTCTCCTGCTGGGGCAGGCTGAGCAAACAGTGGATGCGAGGGACCCGGCCGCAGCTGCGCTCCAGCCCGCACAGTCGCAGGAGAGCTGCGCTCCCGGCTGCCCAGGATGAGGCTGCTCTTCCCTGCCCTTGTGCTGGCCCTGCTCGCCGCTGCCCGTGCTGCTGAAGGTGAGCCGGAGCCGGCCAGCCCTGTGCTGGCTGCCTCCAGCTTGCAGTCAGGGTGGGGATGGAGTGAGTGCGGCTCCGGGGCTAATGGAGGGGCTGGGGAGGGTGAGGAGGGGACAAGGTGGTGGCTGTGGCCACTGGCCACGTTGGCTACACCTTGCAGCGTGGGGAGAAAGCAAGCAGGCAGCACAGGGGTATACGTGGTGCCTGGGCAAATCCCTGGCCGTCCTACAGCTGGACTGCCAGCGTGGAGCTGGGACCCCGGCATAGCCTGGTCCATGGCTCCCATCCCAGCAGGACCTGGGTGGGAGTGGGGAGAGGTCCTGCTGTAGCCCCTGGTGATGGGGTTGACCATGGAGAGTTGGGGTCCCCCCAGCTGGGACATGCCCATGTTTGCTTTCACCCCTGCAGCTGGGCTGGGGGGGAGGCACCGGCCCCACTGCCCACCCACATTATTCCTCCCGTGCTGGCGGGTGGCTTTTGCAGATTCCTGTGCAGGCCGCTGCGAGGATGGCTTCGACGCACGGCGTAAGTGCCAGTGTGACACTCTCTGCGTGTACTACCAGAGCTGCTGCAGCGACTACTCCACCGTCTGCAAAGCCAAAGGTACTGGTCCTGCAGCCGCCCTCCCGCTGGGGCAGGGGCTGCCGGGCTGGCCGTGGGTGCCTGATACTGCAGGGGCTCGGAGGGGTCCGTGCTGGGTCAGGTCTGCACCCACCTGTGTCCACAGAGCCAGGATTTGGTGCTCATGGTGCTGCAGCACCAGGGATTTTTGGCAGCTGGCTCGCTGCTGCCTGCGGCATGGGGTCCATGCAAATCTGTATTGCCTGGGAGCAAGCGGCTCCTGCACCCAGACCCTGTGGGAGACGCTCAGGGCTCTCCCGGACCAACCTGCTCCCTCCCACAGTGACCCGGGGAGACGTGTTTGCCTTGCCGGAGGATGACTACCTCGACTACAACCTCACCGTCGACCTTGGCACTGTAGCGGGTACCGAGGTGGCCCCCACAGAACTGCCCACGTCCCTGTTGCCGGCGCAGACCACACCAGAGAGCGAGCTGGACCTGGACCCCAAGGAGATGCTGACGGAGGTGCCTGTACAGGTGGTGCCCACCACACTGGATGGGCTTGGGGAGCACAACCCCGTGGAGGACCCCGAGGAGCTGTGCAGCAGGAAACCTTTTGATGCCTTCACTGACCTGAAGAACGGTTCCCTTTATGCTTTCCGAGGTACCTCGGGGACCTTTCCTGGGCACATGGGACATGCTGCCGCACCGTCACCCTGTGCCGGCAGTTGCAGTCCCTCCTGCCGCTCTCACCTCCCCTCTCTTCCCAGGGAAGTACTTCTATGAGCTGGACGAGAAAAGCGTGCGGCCCGGCTACCCCAAGCTCATCAGCGACGTCTGGGGCATCGAGGGCCCCATCGACGCAGCCTTCACACGCATCAACTGCCAGGGCAAGACTTACCTGTTCAAGGTGGGCAAGAGCCTGACTGCAGGGCTCGGGGTGCTCCTGGGGTGGCCGGTACAGCCCCCCAACCCACCCTGGCCTCACCCTGGCACCCTCCATGCACGCACACACACAGTGGCTGCCAGATATCTCCAAATCCCTGCGGCTGTCCAGGGCCCCAGGCAGCCACAGCCTCACCACAGGGCTTCCCAGCGTCTACTCGCTCCTCTGGGCAGACCAGCGCCTGGGGAATGCTGCACCCAGTTCCCTGACCCCCCCTCTGTCCCACACCCCCCCCAGGGCAGTCAGTACTGGCGCTTTGATGACGGAGCCCTGGACCCCGGGTACCCACGCGACATCTCTGAGGGCTTTGAAGGCATCCCGAACGACATCGACGCGGCCTTCGCCCTCCCTGCGCACAGCTACCATGGCAATGAGAGAGTCTATTTCTTCAAGGGTAAGGGCAGCTGTGCAGCCCGGACAGAACCTGGCACCAGCAACCGTGGGCAGGACACCCCTCCAACTACTGCTCCCCCTCGAGTATGTGTCCCCCACTAATGCCCCGCGCATCTTCTCCTAGACAAGTACTACTGGTCCTACGACTTTGCCCACCAGCCCACGCAGGCTGACTGTGAGAAGTCCTCCCCCTCCGCTGTGTTCAACCACTATGCCTTCATGAACCGGGACAGCTGGGAGGACCTCTTCCATGTCCTCTTTGGTGGCAGGATGAGTAAGGGCTGGGCCAACGCCGGGGAAAAGGGCTGGCGGGTGCCCACATTGATGGGGTGCGAGGGGTGCAGACACCCAGGGAGGAGGGAGCGATGCCTGGAAGTGCAGGCAGGCTGGATGATCCCCCATGCTGGGCAGGAGCCCGGGCTTTGCACAGGAACCCCCCCCCCAGGCCACAGCTGCATCTCCCACAGCATCCCAAATCCCACCTTCTGCAGCCCTTATGCCCCACGCTACCGAGCCCATCACCAGCCACCTCGCACCACAGCGTCGCTGCTGGGGAGTGTTTATTCCCACTGGAGCTGGAGATGCCACAGGAAAACCCCAGCCCCAGGAAAGAGAAATGAAAGATGGAGAGGAGGAGAAGGGGCGTCAGCAGCACAGGGCTGATCCCAGACAAGGGTTGGGTGATGGGCTGCTCCCAGCTCTGCCTGGCCCATGTCCCCGTCACACATCCCAGCCAGGCTGGGATCCTTTGGAGCATCCCTGTGGGTCTCGGAGCAGGTGCTGGGGGGCTGCCTGTGGGGCTGGGCTCAGCTCACCCCCAGACGTTGCTGCCCCTCTCACTCACCCTCTGCCTCTTTGCCAGTCGGGGCGAGCAGCCCACGGTACATCAGCAAAGACTGGCGGGGGGTGCCCAGCCAGCTGGACGCTGCCATGGCCGGCAGGATCTACGTGGCCTCCCAGCAGCCCCGGAGAAGGAAGTCTCGCCGCCAGCGCAAGAGGTACAAGAGCCATCGGTCACTGAATTTGGGTTTCTGGGGCTGGCTGCAAAACGACTCCGACTCTGCAGGTGTCGAAAGCGACTGGCTGTCGGGCTCCCAGTGTGAGACCCTCCAGAGCGTCTACTTCTTTGTAGGAGGTGAGTGTGGGGCAGCAGGATCTGGGAGAGATGCAGAACCAGGGCTGCCGGGGCAGGGGGAGGTCTCCTCTCGCTCCGTGATGTCCCTGAGCTCTGGGATGCAGTGGGAACCTTCCCAGCCCAGGGCTGGCAGCTCCCCGCAGCTCTGCCCTGTGGGCAGTCCTGACAGCCATCTCCCCTTCCTCCCAGACAAATACTACCGTGTCAACCTGCGCACCAAGCGCGTGGACCTGGTGCAGCCCCGCTACCCCCGCTCCATCGCCCAGTACTGGCTGGACTGCCCGCAGCCCGGGGAGGAGAGCACCTGAGAGGGCTCCTCCAGAGCCGCCCAGCGGCACAGACCCTAGCTAGACAGAAATAAACTGTGAGTGCCGTGCAGGCTGGAGAGCCCCGTCTGTCCGTCCATCCATCCGTCCCACGGTCTGCGCGGTCCTTGTAGTCTGAGATCGCCGTGCCCCCGAGAGCTGTGGTTGTCCCCCCAGGTATAACAACTGTGCGTGGGCTGTGCCAGATCCCTGCTGCTGGCCTGGTTCACGGCGCAGCTGCGGGTCCTCAGATCTGCTCCGCCAGCCACTCCGGTGCCTCTTCCCACTGGAGGAGAGGGACGGTGCCGGCGGCTGCCAGCCAGGAGCCAGCAGGGTCAGGTCTCCAGCATCCCCGGGATCAGGTCCACAGCCCCATGCATGAGCAGCTGGGCTCCGGCTGGGTGCCCATTCCCGAGGGACCCCATCTGAGGCACTGCCTGGCTCCCCCCCGCTGCCCTGCTCACCTCTTGGCTCTGGCGATCCCGGCCACGGCGGTGCTGAAGGAATGACCCTTCCCTCAGGGCTGGGACGGCGCTCGGGACCTGGCAGCTCCCGGGGGAGTGGGTGCCGCTGAGATGAGCTCCTGCTCCTGCCCCGGCTCCTGCCGTGAGGACACATGAATAAACCCTGACCCCCTGCCCCCCACCCCACCC